CCCCCCTTCTAAAATATAGATTGATGCATTTGTACAAAGTACTCTGTCATTATTTCTACACCTGCCCTGTAGCATGGCTCTGGCATCTCCCTGCCCCACATCTGTGGAGTTATACAGGCACATACCTATTGCTCATGGCTTTTCACCCAGGCCATTTGAAAACAATATTTTTTATTGATTCTGATACCTTGCTCACACATCAACAACTTGCAAACAGTTGCTTTATGATGTGTGTGTGTCTCTAAAATAGCATCCCCTTTTATTTATAAAGTTTTAAATAGGTGATTATGCTCCCAAACCCAGCAATGTCTGAGTCACTAGGTGCAGGTGAGAGACTTGAATGGGTACCTGTCCTAGAGAGTTAGCTCAGCAGGAGACCCGCAGTTGCCATGTTCTTGGCCCTAGCTTCAATCTGTAGCTCTGGAACCAAAAGAAAGAAATGGAAGAACCTAAAACCAGATTTTCTCTCCTGGGTGGGTCTAGGGAATCAGCATTTTAATCCTCTTCCTGATTTTACCAAGGGACCCTGAAGCACTGGTTGACAAATTAATAAACTCTGGCTGGGAGGAATCAACCAAATTAAGTCTAGAGTTAGGAAGAACCATAAAATTACGTTTGTCATCAACTTCTCCATTATCATTACCATGGACATCATTATCATGAGAAAAAAATGTATGAGGTGCCTTTTAAATGAAAGACAGTCACCAGTCTCAAAAAATAGAAGCAAAGCAAAGCAAAGAACTATGGGAGTATATTGCCATGATGCATATATATTGTATATATGCATTCTGTTGTGTATGTGTGTGCATATGTGTATATACTGCATCATGTAGTCAGACCTTACAGAAAAATCTACTCACTACATCATATTCTATAATAGTATATACACACATGTATACATATATGTATATTTGAACCTTATACAAAGATATATATATGACAGAGGCCAGGAAACTGATGAAGTCACTGTTAATTTAAAGTCAGCTAATTTGACTGTGCGTGAGAGACACAGGCTGAATGAAGACCATGGTGACATCTGCCAAATCATGCATCCAGACAGAGATGGTAAGGGTTTCTGAACACTTTGATTTATTTATGGCAAACCAAAATGGAGTTTGAGAAGGTTGGGAAAACCCAGAGTGCATGGTCCTTGATGGTTTAATATGAGAATGGAAGCCCTTTATTCAGGCTGGTACATCTGAACACAACTATTCACTGTTGTGTACCCAAGGACTTCTTGGCCACACAAATCAGACAGTCATGACGAGTCCAGAAGTCTACCGATATTGTCAGATATGTTAAAAATGGGCGAATTCTTTTTTTTCCCCAATTGTTTGAAACGTTGGCAAGTGACTATTTCATATTAGTGTTCTAGGTCTTTTTTTTTCTTTTTTAATTTATTTATTTTATATGTATAAATGTTTTGCCTGCATGCATGTCTGTATGCCACATGCCCATAGAAGTCAGAAGAAAAAGAGGCGTTACAGATGGTTGTGAGCCATCATGCAGCTGCTAAGAATTGACCTCAGGTCCTCTGTAAGCCAGTGCTCTCAACCATTGAACCATCTCTCCAACCAAGGCCAGTCTTTGTTATGTAAATTCTAGGGACTGAACTCAAGGTTTCCAGTATGCTAGGCTGGGTGAGCACATGCTAATGAGCTATATTCCCAGCACCAAACTTTTTTGAGATAGCAGAAGACTTATCTCTTTAGCAGAAAACGTCTGAGATCACATGCCTGAGTGAAGATTTGCAAATTAGCATCAGCCTGTCTTTAGATAACTTTTACTCATTTGAAAGGCTAAAATAGTGGACCAGGTTACGTCAGTTCACCCAGGTATGACAATGTAACCTTCAGCATTGGAAGACTGGGTACAGGATAGTCTGGGCTCCCTGGGTCTCTTGGTTCTCCACGTATGACTTTCTCTTTTGATACTCTTCAGGTGTAGGCATCCAAGGTTCATCCTGGGCCCGAGCCTAGGCTTATTCTCAACTTTTGTTTGTTTTGGGTACACCACTACATGAAATACTTGCTCATCATTCAAAAGCTTGCTCTCCCAATTGTCCACTCTACTTCCCATTACCAGTCATAAATATTTGGTAAAGCCATAAATATTTGGTAAGCGAAAGAATGACCCCTCCAAGCCAGGACAATTGGGCATGCTTGCAATCCTAGCACTCACAAGTCTGAGGCAGCTGGACTGTGGAAAGTTTGGGCCAGTTTGAGCTACACTGTCGGGGGTCCGGGGGATTCAACCTCAGTGAGCATCTCATTTACTTGATGAAGGGAGATGAGTGTGAGGACTATAGAATGCCAGCTAAACAGCCAGGTAGGAGATAGGGCTAGAGTGCCTGGTTTCCAGTTTTCAAAAATCACATTTATTTATTTTAGTCACTCTGTCTGCCTGTCTGCCTGTCTGTCTGTCTCTCTCTCTCTCTGTTTACAATTTGAGGGAGTCAGTTCTTCCCTTCCACTGTCATAAAGCTTGGTGGCAAGCACCCTTACCCACTGAACCCATGATTTCCACTCATGAGTGTTTCTGTAAACACCAATGCTACGTAAAATGCAGCGTTGGCCTTCGCTGGCCGATGCGTTTAGTGAAGAGCACCAAGGCCATTTTCAGTGCATGTGATCCTTTCCTCCTCTGGAAGTAGGTGGCAAAGCCAGCACACCAATGTGCGGTGTTCCTATGATACTGCAGATTAATGGAAATAATAACTACATTCTGTAAGACACTGCTCAAAATGACAACATCCCGTCAGAGTCTCCTGTTGCTCAGCCACCTCAAGGAGGTGACGAGAATGTCAGGGAATAGCAGTGGAAGCCTGTGAGCTATCTTCCCTAAGTGGAATAATTTCCCCAAACGCCACAGCTTATATTTATGCAACAATTAATTGTCTTGATTATATCCTATTGTGGAAGGGTGACTGGACAAAACATTATTACAGGGGTCTTGTAGTTGTTTTGTTTTTTTTTTCCCGAGACAGGGTTTCTCTGTGTAGCTTTTGTGCCTTTTCCTAGAGCTCGCTCTGTAGACCAGACTGGCCTCGAACTCACAGAGATTCGCCTGCCTCTGTCTCCCGAGTGCTGGGATTAAAGGCATGGGCTACCACCACCCGGTTTGTATTGTAGTTGTATATATATATTTTTTATATAGGGTCTCACAATGCAGCACTCTGGCCTCAAATTCTGGATCCTCCTACCTCAGCCTCCCCAGTGGAAACTTTAGTCTCAGCACTCTTCTTGCTCTGATTATTATTTATTTGTTTTGTTTGTTTGTGGGCTTTTTTTTTTTTTTAACATTCTCAAACTGTAGCTCAGGCTTATGACAATCCACCTGCCTCAGCTTCCTCCATTTTAAACATAGAGATGCTTTAAAAAAATTAATCTTGACAGGGAATAACCCAAGCTGTGACTAGTACTAGCTTTATGTTTATAGAACCAAAATGTGATCAAAGGCTAGGTATGGGTGTGTATGTTACGCATGCCTGTAACTCCAGCACTTGGGCGGTAGAGGCGGGAGGGTCTGCCCCTAAAGGCTATCCTCAGTTACACAGAGAGTTCAAAGCCAACCTAGACTACGTGAAATGAATCTCTCAAAATGAAATGAAATGAAAAGAAAATAGATAGAAAAGCGTGACTTTTTATTACTATTATTTAGCAAAGGATGCCGTCTAGTCACACAGGGAGGCGCTGTAACAGCAACCAAAGGTCGGTAGGTGGCTCTGCTCCTCTCAAATAAAACTAAGGTTTGCGAAAGACAGCAGGAACACAACCCACTGGGTAAATCCTTTCATCAAAACAATAAACAATACTCTACAACGGTGGCCTCTCGTTTTGGAGGCCTGAAAATTATACCCAGAAGAAACATGGCAAACTGTGTGTGGGTAATCAATTTGCTAAAAGATTAGGGAAAGTACTATATTCTGAAGAATATCAGTTACTAAAGGGAAGATGGATTCAACGTTTTCGTAACTAACTGCCATTTAGAATGAAAGAAAAGTTAGTGCTGAAACCTTTTGAACATTCATTTACCCGAAGCTAATACTTTTGGTCACTTTACATAAAAGTTAGATGTTTAAAGTTTGTGTGAGAAAAAAAAAAAGCTTGCCTCTAGGTTCTCAACTTTTACTTGGACCCTGATATCTTAGCTTTACACTTAAGAAAAAATAGCCAGCAGGACATAATGACATTAAAATTTCTTTCCAACCTAGTTCATAGTTTCCAACTTTGCTAGCTTCCCAGGAGAGATCTAACATCAAAGAACTTTATTTCAAACCCATTGGAAAAATGGGAAGGCGGTTTTTGTTTTTATCTAAATAAAGAGCAGTGTATTTTAAGCTAAAATACAGTTAAGGGGTCATAATTTATTTTTTGTTCCAGACTCTTCCAAGAACGTCAAAGACGCAGGCAGGTGTTTTATAGTTGCAGGGGTTCCTTCTGGTTTCAGAGAAGATGACCATTTACGTTTGAGGTGAGATATACATTTTAGACACTCAAGTTTGCTAAATAGTTTCCATTTTAATTTTAAACATTACATGACTATTTATTTACTCGTTTATGGGAACGGGAAGCGGGTGTCGCCGGGGCACAGTTGTGAAAATCAGAAAACAGCTTTCCTGCGTCCGTTTTCTCGTTGACTCCAGGGATCAAACTCAGGGCTTTAGGTTTGGCGGTAAGCGCCTTTACCTGTCGAGTCGCCTCGAACGACGGACCTGTATTTTTTTAAGGAGGTGAATTGTTTAAAGTACAAAACTAACACTATCGTGAATAAATGCTGGGGCGGGGGTTCTGAAGTAATATTCTCAGCGGTCAGACTGTAATCCGAAAGTAGAGAATTAAAAAAAAAAGCAACCAATTACTTCTCCCCTCAAACAAGAGGTTTTGGATCTGTTTTTATCGAGAACACATTTAGGAATACTTTGAATGATAAAAAGAGGTTATTTTCTCGCTGTCGTTTTGAATTAGTAAGTAACGATTGCGCGGCACGTGGGTCGTCACAGTATTTCACTAGTTGTTTTCCCGGTGCCAGAGAACTTCTTTAGAAAACGAGAAGCGGAGAATAAAACAAGAGACCCTTGGCTGCAAACGATTCTTGTACGGTTTAAATTACTTCAAACTTTGCGGCTTTTAAATGTTAATTCCAAACAACAACAAACACACACACACACACACACACACACACACACACACACACACACACACCTTTTGAAAAATAATACTACACACCAAAAGTCGGAACAAATTCGGTGAAAAAATGAAGTGTTTCCGAATGTCAATAAACATACAGTTTAACTAGAAAGATGAATCGTCACCAAAAGAAGAGACGAGAGAACTATTTCACACCTGGCCCACAGCGTGCCTTTTCACATATAATATTTTTGATGACAAGGAGCCGATCGGTCGAGACTCAACGTTGGTGAGTGCTGTACTGAAGGTGAAAAACGCGCGATCGCCGCCTTTCCCCCCTCCCCCGCCAAAGTTTACAACTTTGGGACTTGTTAGAAAAGGAACAGCCTTCCAGTTGGCGGGGTCTCTCTTCTAGGTTCAGTACTCCGCATTTCGTAGTAAACTGATCGCACGGGGGCTAGAATGGGAAGATGGAGGGGAGGCTGGGATGGATGGATGCCGAGACTGGAGGACGCGAGGGCCAGATGAAGAAAGGATGGAGGGGCGCTTTTCACCTTGACTCGGGAGCTGGCTGCGAGACCAGGACAGGCGGGGCACAAAAGGCTCCACGCTGCTCCGGGGCACGTGGGGCGTGGCGAGGGCGTGGATTGCTCAGCCGCCCAGCCCCAGCAGGCCCGCAGGTATAAGAAGCGCGGTCGCCCGCCCTCGGAGAGCTCCCTAGCGCTCCAGAACGGTACTCACAGCCGAGGCCGGGGCGGGCCTTTGGGTTGGTTCTCCTAGGGATGCTCTCTCCGAATCGCCTAGGCCAACCCCGTTCTCCCAAAGCCGCGGCCGCGCCGCACCAGCCCTCGGCCACCGACATGGCCCTGTACTGCAGCGAAAACTTCGTGTACTCACAGCCCGCCGCCGCCGCCGCTCCCGGTGCGCCCTCGACCACCAGGGCGCCCTACTCGTTTTCCGACTACGCCGCGCCGCCCGCCGCGGCCGCCAACCCCTACCTGTGGCTCAACGGGCCCGGCGTGGGCGGCCCGGCCTCCGCTGCGGGTTACCTGGGCGCCCCGCCGCCGCCCCCCGGAGCAGCTCCCGGGCCATTCCTGCAGCCCCCAGCCGCGCCGGGCACCTTCGCGGGCACCCAGCGGGGCTTCGCCCAGCCCTCGGCTGCTGCTCCCGCCTCACCCGCCGGCTCGGCAGCTCCGGGCGAGTTGGGCTGGCTGTCGATGGCCAGCCGCGAGGATCTGATGAAGATGGTGCGTCCGCCCTACTCGTACTCGGCGCTCATCGCCATGGCCATCCAGAGCGCTCCCGAGCGCAAGCTCACCCTCAGCCACATCTACCAGTTCGTTGCTGACAACTTCCCTTTCTACCAGCGCAGCAAGGCTGGGTGGCAGAATTCCATCCGCCACAACCTATCACTCAATGACTGCTTCAAGAAGGTGCCCCGCGACGAGGACGACCCAGGTGAGATGGCAGGACAGGTCCTTCCCGCCTGGGGAGGACGCGGAGCCGCGCGCACCTGCGGGCGCTGTGAGCCGGAGCCCAGTATTGGGAGTCGTGTGTGCGGCTAGGTTGAAAATCCACACCGGGTCTTCTCATCACTGGGGAACATGTGGGGGTAGAGCCGCCCCAACCTGGTCTGATAGGGATGCGGGAAGTATCAGATCTCACAGAGGATACGGTGAGCTGGGTCCCCTACATTCAGGGCAGAAGTTGGTCGGCTAAAGAAAAATAAATAAATAAAAAATCAGGGGCTGGGGATTTAGCTCAGTGGTAGAGCGCTTTCCTAGCTAGCGCAAGGCCCTGGGTTCGGTCCTCAACTCCGGGGGAAAAAGAAAAAGAAAAAACCAAAAATAAGAATTAAAACCCTCAAAAGGAGGCCGCTGCAAGGGACAGCTTAGTTACTGGAAGTAGATTGGGAGAAAGAACAGGAGGCAAGGGACTCTCAGAAGCAGGGTGTTCTATCAGCTGTTGAAAACGATGAACGAGAACATTGGGCCTCCTTTGGATTCCTGAGGATCTCACTGCGTCCTTACCTGTTCACTTAACTTGCGGTCATTTAATGATGAAAATCCGAAGTGGAACAACTGAGAGGTTTAGGTAAATTAAGAAATAAGTGGCCCAACTGTCCTCCCACTGGTCTAAACCCCATCTCTTGAGTACAGAAGACTGCATAGGTCTTCTGAGTGATGTTCCACCTGGCAGAGGGGGAAGTGGAGTGACGCTTACAAAGAAACGGACTCTTGCTTGAGGCGTTTTGAATGAACTCAGAACAAGGAAAATGAGATCTAGGAGTTCTGTTTAAATGCTACCAACGTCCTTTGTTGTGTTAGGGGATGGAGCCCCAGGGCCTCAGACCTGCAGGGGATTAGCCCTCCCGCTGAGTTGCGCCCCTAGTCTTGCAGACATGGCTCTGGAGCAGTGTTTTCCAGTGCTGTTACTGTGTGGCTGCAGACCACATTTTAAAAGTTATCATGTGATTAGGCATAGCGAATTTCGTTCCTATAATCCTATCATGTCGGAGACAAAGGCTGGGAAATTAGGAGTTCAAGGTCAGCTTCACAGCCTTCCTCTTTTTTCAGTTTTTCCAGACTGTGTTTCTCTGTAGCTTTCGTGATCTCACTTGGTAGACCAGGCTGGCCTTGAACTCAGAGATCCACCTGGCTCTGCCTCCCGAGTGCTAGGATTAAAGGCTTGAGCCACCACTGCCCGGCCACATCCTTTCTCTTAAATCTCATAGCCTGTGTATATTTTACAACACATTTTAATTTGGACACATTTCAAGTGTCCTAACAGCCATTTGTGCCCAGCAGTGACACTTGGACAGGACGTGCAGTTTCTGAAGATGTACCTTCCCAATTTAGCCTCAAACCACCCAAGATTTTTTATGTCTGTTGTCACGCGTATTCCTTTGAACTTAAAAAATTCAAAGATATTGGTATCTGGAAATTTTTTTTTTTTTAGGACAAAACCCAGTGAAGGTCAGGAGTATAGCTCAAAAATAGAGCACTTGCCTAATTTATTGAGGTCTTGGGTTTACCCCCTAGCACTGGGGAGAGAAGGAAGAAAAGATTCATATACCAAGATGACCTATACAGATAGTTACAGATACTGTGTGTCGGTATCTACAGAGGCAGCCAGATCTGAGTTTGAGGCCAGCCTGGTCTACAGAGTAAGTTCTGGGATAGCCAGGGCTACATAGTGAGACCCTGATTAAAGAAAAAAAGATGTTATTAAATTTGTAGCCAGTCTACCCTGGCGACAGCGGGTAGCCAGTCAGTACCTCCCCTCTCATCTGAAAATGGAGGGCTGTGGTCCTGTTGCCTGCCTCCACCTCTCCATGAGCAGCGCTCACTGTAAAGAGCTTCATGACACTTTCGAACCGCAAAGGCCAAAGTCAGGAAAAGCCACTGGGTGATGATAACTCCTAAGATGCTGTGGGTCTTTCCCCTTCCCTCGTAGGAGGGCATTTTCTACAGAAGGCACGTGTTGGGTGTTTTAAACGAGTGCAGAATTTCCCCAGTGGACAACTTGGTTTTACAGGGACACACCCTGCTCAGATGAGTGTCCATTCCCAGCTTCCTGGTGCGACAAACAAGCCCCATCCGTGGAGTTGTTAGAGCTTGATTGCTTGATAGCACAGTTTGTCATTTTGTGATTGCTTTTTCCAGGGCGATTCTTTTCGGTTGTGGGAGTTGCATATATTTCAGAAAAAAGTTGTAGTGAATACTGTTCCGGCTGCTTGCCCTGTGCCAGCTAAGCTACTACGCTAAGGTATCATGTAAGCCTAAGTTACTATGTGTTAACTTACCAGCCGCCTTATTTTAGAAAACAAACGGAAGCTCCTGTTTTACGATGCACCAGACTTTCATGATTTTGCAGGTCTACATGGTTTGGATCTAGAGTAAGGGAAAGTGGTGGGTGACCGTAGTAGGTGCCTCATATAAAATTCGGTTTTAGGATGTAAGTGGTGGGGCTACTAAAACATAGAACTGACTAGGACAGCCTATTCTGAATGTCTCCTTGTTAGTGAAGTAGGTAAGGCCTCCAGAAGAGGATGACATGCCTTTGATCCTCAGCATTGTAGAATGGTGCATGCTTGTGATCCCAGAGAGGGCGACGGCAGAACCAGTCAATTTAAGGCCAGCGTGGGGTACATGAAACTGTCTTCAAACTCCAGAAACAGGCCCTACTTAACATAGCTTATAATATTGTTATTCTGCCTAATTTATATATTTACTTTATCATAGGTGTACATGTATAGGACAAAGAATAGGATTGATAGGATCTGCTGCTGTAACTGATTTCAGACACCCACTACATTGTCTTGACAACTTAAGGGGGACACTCTGTGTACAGGAATAAAATTGAACCTAAAAGCTGGGAGTGGTGGCACACACATGCCTTTAGTCCCAGCACTCGGAGCCCTTGGCAAGTGGATCTCTGAATTCAAGCCTAGCCTGGTCTACAGAGCAAGTTCCAGGACAGTTAGGGCTACACAGAGAAACCCTGTCTCAAATATAAAAAAATAAATATAAAAAATATAACCCTCATTAACTCTTTTTTTTTTCCTCAGGAAAAGGTAATTACTGGACTCTAGATCCAAACTGTGAAAAAATGTTCGACAATGGAAACTTCCGTCGGAAGCGAAAGCGCCGTTCTGAGGCCAACAGCAACCTCACTGCAGCTTCAGGAACATCAAAATCAGAAGGGCTATCCTCAAGACTAAGAGCGAGTGGGAAGCTGGAAGGAGGCAGCCCCTCCTCTGCGTTGAGGCCATCCCAGTCCCCAGAGTCTCCAGCAGACGACGCCAAGAGTACCTCCTCCTCTCCTGGAGCATCCATCCCGTGCCTCAACACGTTCTTCAGCAGCCTTAGCACGCTAAGTGTGAGCCCCAGCAGCATGAGCACCCAGCGAGCCATCCCAGGCAATCACCGCCACCTAGGGGGCACCCAGCTGCCCGCCAGCACGTTCCCCAACACCTCCACCCCAGGCAGCTCTCCAGACTCCGTGCAGCTGAGCACTGTGGGTGGAAGCAGCCAGCTGTCTTCCTACTACAGCCCGTTCCCTGGCGGCAGTGGCGGCAGCGGCGGCGGGGACCAGAGTAGTCCCTTCAGCAGCCCTTTCTACAACTTCAGCATGGTCAACAGCCTCATCTACCCCCGGGATGGCTCTGATGTGTAAACAGAGGAGCTCCTCAAGACTTCACATGTCCACTTGAGATCCGTTTTGAATGTAGGCTCAGGAAGTCTGGGGTAGGGCTGAGTGAGCTTCATTGATTTCTGTGAGCCCCCTGAACAATCCTACGCTCCGCTGCCTATGCTCACAGTAACCAGAGTAGTTCTTAGACCCCAGCAAGCTTTTCTAGGTTTCTCTGGCTGTGTGCCTCTCTGGAAATAAAAGGCACCTTACTCAGTAGTTAAAACTCTGTGAGAACGGCATCTATTTTATTATTCACTTGTTTATCAGAACAGCAAGCTCAAATGTATACAGGCAGCTGGGTGGGGAAAAGGCCATTGAAGCTCTGGGTGGGAAAAATTAAAGCTGTTGGCAGCTGGAGGCACAGGGGATTGACCAGCTGGTCATTTCCTTCATAACAGCATTCTGATTTTTCATGGAAAGCCAGATCATCTGGATTTTTTTTTTTCTTTAAATAAGGAAACTCCAATTTTGTATCCTTTGCCTCCTCTTGTATCTAGGGTATGCCACAAAACCTTTCTGAATCCAGCTCACAAGTTACCTCTGTCTGGACATGGTAGGTGCTTATTGCAGAGATTCTTTGTGCCAAATGTTCTGTAGATCTGGAATGTCAACTCAGTTACTTCTCTACACAGTAAGTCTCCTTGTGTTCCAGAATACTGGGTCTCTGACACCATCGAAAGTACCAAATTCTGTGTGGGAAATAGGTATGACTATCTTTCTGAGATGGTGGGTAACATACCAAGGTCACACATGGGAAATAATTGGTTCTCAAACATGCCAGCCTCGTGATAGACGACAGAGTATCCATGGGATAAGGTCTGGAGACCATTGTTTTAGTTCCTCCTGGTAAACCTGGCATCCTGTCCCTTTTAGCTTGTGTCCTAGGTATTTATTTCATTGACAGTGAAATCTTACAGGTTCTTTTTGTTTGGATTTTTGAGACAAGATCCTGCTTAGCCCTACGTAGACCATGGTGGCCTTAAACTCACAGAGATCTACCTCTGAGACCAATCTTACAGATTTGAATTCTTTTAAAAGTTGTATGTATATAACTCTGTTTCACCACCACCTCACTTCTGAGGTGACTTCATTTGAATCCTTTTTTAGTGGGGAGAATCTAGCACAGCATCATACAGGAAGGAAATGCTTGGTCATCATTAGTTGAACTCAAAGAGCGCTGCTGACAGATGGGAATGATTTTTGGATTTACAGGAACAGCCCACCACTAAATTGAAGGTAATATTCTACAAGCTCCCATGATACTGTGTTCTTTCTTAATATTGATATGAGACAGGAACCTCATGAAATTGTAGTGGGGGGCCACGGGGAATCCCTGTGGTGGTTTTTTTTTTGTTTTGTTTTTGTTTTAAGATAGGTTTTATGCCCCCTGTATATTAGAACTCACAGCTTTAGTTAAAATTTTTTAGAAATGTATGGAAAATTTTAATGGCCTCTTGATGTACAAATTCTATCACCATTGCTTATTAATTGTTATGCAAAAATATAACCAAAGAAACTACTCGGCCTCAAACTTGGTGCATAAAATTTTTTTCTTAATATTTTTGTATGTGAAGAATCATAAGGGCTTTTATGGATATTTCTAACACAACTCTATATTTGTAAATTAATTTATAATGTCTGCTGGAGCTGCAAAGATTTTTTTTTCCCAAGAAAGTACTCTGCATGCTAAGAATAAACTCTTCAATGGGATGACTCCTGGCTTTTGTGTTACTGCCTTTCTGACCTCGGTGTCTTTCTTAAAGGAACAAAAATGGACGACCTGTCACTCAAGCCATTAGAGGGACTCTGTTGAGTACTTGACTTTGCACATTGACTTTGCTCCACCTAATCCCAGGTCAAAAGGCTGGAGGAAAAGTTACCATTCACGAAGGGCTTGGGGCATGAGTGTTGGGTTTATTTATACTACAGAAGCAGTTCTGTTAGAAGCTACATTTGAGCTGGGATGGATGGGCCTCAGTTGTAGAGTGCTTGTCTAGCTTTCCTAGGATAAGGCTCTAATTGAGGGTGGAGGACAGATTAAGCTGAGTTTTGGTGCACAGTAGTCCAAAGAAAGTGTTCTGAGGCTGCCATTTCATGGAGCTTTCCAGGGTGAATGTGCTTGGGAAGAAGGAGCCACAGGCAGCCCATTTCCAGGGCTGGAGCAGGAAGTTTGAACTTGGCCCCACCCAGAACTTCTTTGTTTAGGCTGCCCCGTGTATCATGGGAAGCCTATTAGTCCCAGAGGCATACCCACACAGTTGAAATACCTACTCTAGGTCACATAGTCATTTTTTCATTAAGAATTTTTCTATTCGCTTTACATACCAACCACAGATCCACCACCACCACCCCCGACCCTCCCCCACCATCATAGGGTCATATTAACTCAGGTGAGAACCTTTTACCTAAACTTCTTTAAGGGGATCAAGTGTGGGGTTTAGTTGGGAAGAAAGGAAAACCAGATCAAAACTAGATCTGGATAGTTGATTGACATTGAACACTGGAATGATAGCGTTGTGAGGACCTATTGCCTGACTTTGAGGGGTCAGCAAGGTGACAGATCCAGCATGAAATATACCAGGGTGTGGCTCTTGCCAGCCATCTGCTTAAGGAGCAAGGAAGTTGCTGGGGCCTGGATGGTTCCGGGTCAAAGTGCACCAGCACCCAGTTGCTGCAGACTTGTGCTTCTGTGATGTTTTCTGCCTTGGAACTATAGCAGAAAATTTTAAAGTGGGCTAGACCACACTTTGGGTGGTTTGCAACAATCCAGAGAACAGAATGCCCTATAATCCCTATAATAGGTAACTGGGTCCCTGGGGAGTGAGCCCGGGCTGAGGCTGATGTGTCTCAGCTTTCTGTGGCCTGCTGTGCCCTTTGAAATAGGGTAGGGCAGGAGAATTTGGGGACCTATTAAGTAGGTTTTACGCTTCCATCTTTGTACATTTATTTTGGGTTTTGGAAATAGTCTTTTGGAGCCTAGATTGGCCTTCAAGCTGACTCACTGTGTAGCAGAGGCTGACATTCAGTTTTTCTCATCCATTCCCTGAGTGCTGCGCCACCACGCTCGGTTCATCTTGTCATTTTGAAATCCTCCATCACTCTTGAACTTCCTGAAAAAAGGCAACTGAGGAGGCTCTGAAAACAGCTTTGCAGCCTCCCCCTCTCCAGCAGCCAACTGTGCTCCCGAGCCCCTCCCAAGGCAAACCAAGGCAGGCAGAGAACACAAAAGACTTCCCAAACTTCAGAGGGGATTCCCAGGGCCTTCCCTGCCTTCGGAGGCTTGAAAGCACCTGTCTTTAGCCTGGTTGGCTTTTGTCTTTTTTTCCTACTGTTTCTGGGGCTAAAACTTTGAGGTCATTAATGAGAAAGAAACCCCTGGTGCTCTCACAGGGCAGGAGGTCGGCTGGCTTGTAGGCCAGAGCCCGGCTTTGGCTTTGCCTTTGTCATGGAAAGCCGTCAACTGGGGCCTGCGGTTAGGTGGGGTTAGGCTGGCACCGCTGAGGAAAGGAATTTCCTGCCAGATTTGGGAACAAAACACAGAGACCGAACAGACTGGTGCCCTCCTGAATTCCTCTCCAGGAGGCCTAAAAGAACAGCCTTTTATCATGTTAAAAAAGGCAAGTGTCACCATTGACCCATGTGTAAGGTGGCATTGTTCAAACACCTATATGACTAACTTCTCACCCTATCAGCCCTAACAACAATGAATTAGTTATTACCTGGCCTGGGAGTTTCTATAACCGGGGCCTGAGGGTTGATCTAAGTGGCTGCTTCAGCAAGTGCTTAAACCAGAATTCAAAGTGAGGCCATTGGGGTTGGAGAGATAGCTCAGGCCTTTAATCCCAGCACTTGGGAAGCAGAAAGGCAGGTGGATTTCTGAGTTTGAGGCAGCCTGGTCTACAGAGTGAGTTCTAAGACAGTCAGGGCTACACAGAGAAACCCTGTCTTGAACGACAAAGCAAAACACGCCCTCCCCCCTTTAAAAAAAAGTACATATATTGTTCTTAGAACGAGGTTGGGTTCTCAGCACCTACTCTACTCACAGCTGGAACTCCAGTTTCAGGGGATCTGATGTTTTTTTCTGACATCCTTGGGCTCCTACACATGGGATGCACACACATACACACAAATATTTTGAATTTTAAATTAAGCTATGTGATGTCATGGCTGATCACATTACACTGCCAATCATTTCAAAAAGAAAAGTAACTTTCCCAAAACCACACAGCCACACCAGGGGCCTAGAATCCAGCCTTCTGCCTTCCAGTTTGGTTAGTTTCTGTTCCAGGAATTTCCTTTGTGTGGACCCTGAAGTTAAAATTTGAGTCTGGGTTGTCTCTTCATGGACGCAGAAGTTTAAACTGTGAAAAGTCACTTTTCCTTGGCATACCTCGCCCTCAGAAGCAGCCCACAGTCTAGTCAGGAGTTCCGGGTCTCTGGCTCTGAAGCCACTCCGGAAAGCCAGACACTGGTAACAATGATTAAGAACCTTGGACCCTAGCTGGGCATAGGGGCACACGCCTTTAATCCCAACACTCAAAATGCAGAGGCAGCCAGATCTCTGGGAGTTCCAGGCTAGCCTGATCTACATATTGAGTTCCAGGACAGCCAAAGCTACATAGTGATATCAAAAATAAAAAAAACAAACAAAAGGACCTTTTTGGACCTATGGAAAATTTTTCCACTGATTTAGCAAACCCCCATCCCCAGGCACCACATCCTGTCCTGGGCTTTTTTTTTTTTTTCTTTCTTTCAAATTTTTTAAAATTTATTTTACATACCAACCACAGATCGCCCTTCTCATCCCTCCTTCCACTCCCCAACCCCAGCCTTCTCCCAGTCCCTCACCCACTCCCCATCCCCTCCTCCAAAAGGGAAAGAGCTCCCATGGGGAGTTAGCAAAGCCTGGTACATTCAGTTGAGGCAGGACCAAGCCCCTCCCCCTGCATCAAGGCTGTGCCAGGTGTCCCACCATAGGTAATGGTCTCCAGAAAGCCAGCTCATGCACCAGGGTTAGACCCTGATCCCACTGCCAGGGGCCCCTCAAACAGACCCAGGTACACAACTGTCTCCGTTATGGAGAGGGTCTAGTCAGGTCCCTTGCAGGCTCCACAGCTGCCAGTCTAAAGTGTGTGAGTTCTTACGAGCTTGGTTCAGTTGTCTCTGCAGATTTCCCTACTCATAATCCCTCTTCCCTCTCTTCAACTGGACTCCCCAAGTGTGCTGGGCTTT